GTCATACATCTCAATGTCGAGAAGAGGGTTTTTCAACATTAAAACTACTTTTTTCGATGGATTTTTGAGGTGCATCCGTAGTTCTACATTATAAGGTTACATCCTTATATAAACTTTTTCCTTAATATAATGAGTTCGATTCATGAGTAGTGTTATTCACAACACATTCATTTATAAATTGAATATTGGCATCAAAATTTATAAATTGATTTATACAAATCCAATTTTGTGTCTATCCATCATCATCATTATCATCTAAGCCATTACAATAACCTTTTTAACAGAGGCCTAATTAAATAAATAAATAAAATAAAATGCATGTACACAAACTCAAAACACTCAAATATTGCCAAAAAAACCATTACATTGCTCGAGAGTTCATTACATATGATAACATTACAATGGCCAAAAAGACCATTACATTGCCAGAAAGACCATTACGTTACTCGTCTTTTCTTGGGCTGATACTACTTCTTTAGCGCATTATGCCTTCTGGGCTTCTCAATTGCAGGTTGTGTGGATGGAGCCAGATCTTCTGCAGCATGACTACTTTCACTCGCTACACCACTTCTAGGCTGGTCATATGCAACTTCATCATTAACTTGATGTTGTAAATGTTCCTTCCAGACTTCTATATCATCTATGTCCACATGCACAAACTTAGATAACATTTCAAACACGTTGTTAACATAATTATAAACTTCAGGATACCACTTATGTCTAAGTGCAAGTACCTTTGCTAACATGACTGTACTAGCCTGAACTGCATAGTGAGCAGTAATCAAGAATGTTAGCTCAGACTCTTCATGACAAATGTGAAGTTTATAAAAAAAAAAAGTATCATATATGTGAAAAGCTGATGGAGTGTGAGAATTATCCCTTTAAATTAAGGCCCACGAACATTTGGAGAAAACTAAACGCTGTTTCTTTTTCATTAAAGTGGAAATAAACATCTATTCTTGTATAACCTCGATTATATGTGATTTATGAGCACCTTGATTGTAGAACTAGAAATCCCAAATACTAGGATTCCATCCAAGATCATTGGCTAGATACGATGCGATGCGAATACAACCATAAACCAAGTGCAAGACATAAAGCAGACCAAGAGCACATACTACATGTTCAGGGGTGTTTCCTAACACACTGAACAAAAATTGTGAAATGGCCATATAGTCCCTAGCCCAGGAATATGCGATGATTGTTTCCAAATGGGCCAAAATCTTAGCAATGTTGTTTATAGGATCAAATATGGTTGTGTTAAAAATCAAGACATTTGATGTGTAAAATTAAGGGTTAAGCTGAGGTGCCAGAGATAGTGCCTTGCAGTGGACATGACATGTTGGACCAAAGGTGTCCAAATGGTCTAATCTTTGGTGAAGATGTTTGAATTACCATTTTACAATGTTTTCCTTGATCTCAGGGGATTTAGAGGTGCCTATAGAGAGATCTTCTAAATGATATGGTAACATCCCATAATATTGTGAAATTTGGACATGCATACAGTGATGGAGGCAAGTTCACCATGAGCAGTACATTGGCATGTTGCCTCCCCAGGTGAACTTGCAATTTGGATCCAGATGTGGTCCAAAAGCAATTAAACTTGCGTTAAGGGTTTGTACTGAGTGGTTAAGTGACCAAAGTAAAATTCATGGTATTTGGATCATATTTTACTGTTAAAATTAAGTTCGTGTGAGCATAAAGTCACGTGGTTATCCTGACGAGGGGGAGCCTTTGATGAGGAAATAGTTTGGTAATCTAGTGAGAAACTATATGCAGTTATCCCAAGGCATGGAGAAGCATTAAGATGATGAATTGAGGATTTGCATGCTTTCAATTATGATGAGTTCCAAGAAGTGAATGATAAATTCAAGCTTCAATGAGCTATAGGGAAGCTTGTAGTGGTGATTCACTAAATTCTTGATGGCTGAAGATTTCAGAATCAAGAGAATGGCGGAGGGTGGAAACCATTGTTATTTTTGCAACTGAAATTTAAAAAGTCGAGGAAAAAGGGGACATTCTTGCTCAAAGAAGGCATGGAATGATGTCAGAAGAGGATTCTTGAAGAAAATATCACAAACATAGCAGGCACAATTGAGATAGAATCACAAAACATAAACTTTCCAAAAGTTTGAACAAGTTTTGGAGAGTTCCTCGATCTTTCAATATCTTGAGATATTCAATTTGTTTTGGATAGATATCCCGATGAGTGAACGAGTTTTGGTTCATCATGCCCAATCCTCTTATAGGGCTATTTGACAGATAGGTTCTATAGGAACTGGATGATATTCATCAATACTTCGAGATTGGGTCGGTCTTAAGTTATCCCTATTGTACTATATGTGTTAATTGAAAGCACTTCGATCTTTTATTGATCTGTCGAGCGAGCACTTATTTGATTTTAATTGATGAAGAGTTGGGTCAATCATCCGCTCACATGGATTTTGGGATTTTGGTTTGCTCAAGGACTAGAATACTAAATTTTCATGGAAAATAACTCTTGGAAAATAACCTGACTTTTCCACGATTTCATTTTCACACCAAAACCTGTTTTTTTCCATATTGTGAAACCAACGGGCATTGAATTACATATTGCATGAGACTTGTTATGCTACCTTATGATATAGGTATAAGAATGTTGAGAATGTATATGTTATATGTGCAATAATTGAGTGGAGCTGCTACAGTCCCACATTTTTGTTAGCTGTTTGGATATTTAGATGTACAGATGCAAACTATTTCATGTATCCAAATAATGTAAAGTCTACATCTGGATATGTGTTCATGCTTGTAGGGGGTACAGTTTCTTAGAAATCAAAGAAACATGATATGGTGGAATTGTCCACCATGGAGGCAGAGTACGTGGCATACTGTTTGGCAGCCAAAGAAGCCGTATGGATTAAGAAATTTCTTAATCGACTTGATTTTCATCCTATACGTTATGAGGCAGTAAGAATTTTCTTTCACAACATGGCGGCGATATACGTGTCAAATGAGCCACGATTCCATAGGACTCCAAACATATAAAATCGTGTTTCTATCATCTAAAGAATGATGTGAGATTGAGAAAGATTCAGATAAACTAAATATTCCAGTAGGAGCACCCGCTAATATTTGACAGGTCAATTGGAACAACATACTATAATGTTGTTCACCCATAGAACCCAGATGTATGGCACTGGTTGTATAGCTATAGAAGGGAACCACTTGTTTGAAGAACTCTTTTGAGCCCATGAACATATGGCCCCCATGCGATGAAGGTACATAATGATCTTCAGTGACAATAGGTTTATGATTCGCGATGCGATATTAAATATGAACCATGACCACTTTTGGGATGAGATCCGAGTAGCAAAGAGAAAAAAGGAATTGCCTCAAAAAGTCCTATTATGAAAGCATTGAAGGCAAAAGCCATGATTAATATATTGAGAGAGAATAAGTGAAAAATGCTTGAGAAAGAGATTATAATTAGGAGAGAAAGATGGAGATGAGAGAAAGTGAAGAAGAGAGAATGTAAGGCCTCAAAGGCCAAGTGGGATTGGGTGAGTGTGGTCATAAAAGTCCTTATGAGTGCTTGTAAAATGAAATGATATAGTAGAACAGGGACTCAATGCGAGTGTGGTCCCTCTTGGATCACACTAAGCAAACGATGTTTGCTGATACCAGACTGAACTTGACGAGCTAGGCCAATCGGTTGAGAAAAACCTATATTATCTAGGTATAGAAAACTATCCAATAAGGGTTCTAATAAGTCATGCATTGATGAGGCCGGAGTACACCCGGATGAGTGAGCTGAGGGACTGTATGACCCTTGTGTGTGATGGTGGCCTTAAAAAACGGGGGCCAAAGCCTCATTCGCGAACTATTACACGGCATGTACATATGATAATCATTTCAAGATAAAAGCTTATATGTGTGCAAGAGATATTTCTATGCTTCATAGGCGTTGTAGTCACATAAGATATATGTGACATTGGTACGTCTCTAGGGGAGAACTTGAAATCCACAAATCGAGATTACGACCCCTTGGCTTATTGGCCTGACTTTAGTGACCCACTAATGAACCCCTGCATAGACTGTGGTTCATGTAAAATACTGAGTTGGTTTGATAAAGCAAGTGTAGACCGTAGCCTACAGTTGAAGGTGGACTGCCTAAACATTTATTTATTTAATTCGTAGACCATATGGATCATTTTTTCATCTAATGAATTTAATTATATTTTTTTTAATGATATATGATTTTTAGAATTACTATTTGAATTTTTCTAGTTCTCTGGATATTTAATTTATTAAATTTGGATTTATAAAAACATAGATATTGATTTTAGATAGATTTAAATATTCCAAATTGATTTTATGGATTTTTAAAAATCATATAATTAATTTTAATAATTGTAATATTGCATGGGAGGCCTAATATGTTAATGGGCACACTATTGCATGCAAGTGGGGCCCATGAAGTACCACTTAGGGTGGCACATCCTGAAAGTAAATGATATTAGCTTTGCAAGGTACTTTATTTTCTTTATTTTTTAATTTATTTTTTGTTTTTCATCTGCCCATATTTTATGTTAAAATACATTACTAATTTATTTTTGCTCTTTAACCGCTCTTTATTTTGTTACTTTTGTTGCATGTGCTCGTATAAAACTTGAGTTTCATTTATTTATATTTCCTATGCCTTTTTGTCTTACTACTAAGTCATTGGGTTGAATCAACTCCAAAAAAGGAAGGCAGGAAAAGAGAGCTTCTCATCTTGGGTCTGCTCACTTTCATTATCTACCTAAGTTTTGCCCAAGAAAGTAATGAACAGAATGCTCCCTAGTGAGCATGAAATCTTTAGGATAACTAGCAGCGATGCTCACCTCAAAAATGACCGTTGGATTATGACCGTTAGAAGGATATGGCCGTTAGAAGGATATGACCGTTGGATTATGACTGTTAGAGGATATGACCATTGGACGATATGACCGTTGGATCATAGTCGATAGATCGGGGCCTCTAAAATGCCCTTTCGAATCTTTCTTTCATTCCTGTATGCTTTCTCTCGGCTTACCTCTCTCTCTCTCAGTCTCTCTCTCTCTCTAAGTTTACTCGCTCTCTCTCTGTAACGCCGGCCAACCGTGTTCTGCAAGCCTTGAAAACCAAGGTAAGTTACCTAGGAGTGTCTTATTTCTTTATTAGTGTTGCATGTGAACTTTTTATTGTTGATGGTTTCTGCAATCATGTTAGGAACTCATGAAACATCTCATGGGAATATCCTTTTGGGAGACAAATTTGATTTCTTTAGCTGAATGTTGCAATTAAACTGCCACTTTTATATAGGCAAAAGTTGGGGTATCATTCTGATGATGCAAATTAGGGTTGATTCTTTCATGGCTGCATCGCTTTTATACAGGGAAAAGTAGGGGTATCATTCTGATGAAAATTAGGGTCGATTCTTTTATGGCTACATTCTTAAGTATATTAAGCTAGGAATTATTATCCTTTTCTTTTAGGTTCTGCGGTCATGTTAGGAACTCATGAACATCTCATGGGAATATTCTTTTGGGAGACAAATTCGATTTATTTAGCTGACTGTTACGATTAAACTGCCACTTTATAGGCAAAAGTTGGGGTATCATTCTGATGCAAATTAGGGTTGATTCTTTCATGGCTGAATCACTTTTATATAGGCAAAAGTTGGGGTATCATTCTGATGCAAATTAGGGTTGATTCTTTCATGGCTGAATCACTTTTATATAGGCAAAAGTTGGGGTATCATTCTGATGCAAATTAGGGTTGATTCTTTCATGGCTGCATCACATTCCTAAATATTATTAAAGCTAGGAATTATTATTCATTTTCTTTTAGTTTTATGTTTTTGAGAATAAATTCAAGGAAATGGATCAAGTTGCTTCTGGAGGTGCAGACAAAGGAAAGCAAGGCACAAAGTACAAGGAGAACGGAAGGTGAAATGGGAGGGGCAGTCTTGCATTGGGTCAATCCCCATGAAAACGCATGACTTGAATTGCTCCAGTATTACTTGAGATACGATTTGAATTGACTACTAATTTTATATAGAGAAGCATAAGCCCTGTAATGGGCCACAGTCTGCATTTTAAAAGGGAGACAAATTACGGATTATATTTTGTGTGCTCATGAGTGTATTAGCTCAAGTAAAGCTAGGGGCACCGGCTTAATGTGTAAAATCAATTTGGAAAAGGCCCATGTCAAGGTGGACTGGGGTGTTCTTATGAAAGTGATGGATGCAAATGGGTTTTGTGGTTAAATGGATAAGTTGGATTGAGGAGTGTTTGAGTTCTGTCTGTTTTATCAATTTTGATAAACGGACGACCCAAGGGCCTTTTCAAAGCAACAAGCGTGTAAGACAAGGTGATCCACTGTCGCCTTTTTGTTTACCTTAATGGTTGAGACATGTAGTGTGATGCTTAGAGACTTAGTGGAGGTTGGACTATTTAAGGGATTTAAAGTGAGTGATAGAGGAAGCCAGATATTACATTTTTGGTATGTAGATGACACACTAACTTTTTGTAGTTTACAAGAGTGTGAAATAATAACTTTGAGGAGATTCTTGTGTTATCTTAGAGTGAATTGGAACAAGACCAACCTTATATGGGTGTGTTGAAATGATGAAGAGCGGGAAAAATTGCTGCAGATATGGTGTATGGATGTTTCCTGTTAATAGGGTCAAGGGCTTCTAGATCTGTATGGGACCCTATGATCCAAAGTGTGCAGTTTTAAGCCTGACTTATGAAAAGCTAAATTTTTAATCCTTGGGAGGAGATTGACTTTAATTAGGTCGACTTTAATTAGATGTGCAGTTTAAGCTTGACTTATGGAAACCTGAATTTTTAATCCTTGGGAGGAAGATTGACTTTAATTAGGCCTAACTTTAATTGAATGTAGTGTGATGCTTAGAGACTTACTGGAGGTTTGGACTGTTGAAGAGATTTAAAGTGAGTGATAGAGGAAGCCAGATATTACTTTTTTGGTATGCAGATGACACACTAACTTTTCGTAGTGCATTGACTTTAATTAGGTCAACTTTAATTGGATATAGTGTGATGCTTAGAGACTTAGTGGAGGTTTGGACTGTTGAAGAGATTTAAAGTGAGTGATAGAGGAAGCCAGATATTACATTTTTGGTATGCAGATGACACACTAACTTTTTGTAGTGCACAAGAGTGTAAAATAATAACTTTGAGGAGATTCTTGTGTTGTTTTGAGGTGGTTACTGGTCTTAGAGTGAATTGGAACAAGACCAACCTCCCTGTGATCCAAAGTGTGCAGTTTAAGCTTGACTTATGGAAAGTTAAGTTTTTTTAATCCTTGTGAGGGAGTATTAACTTTAATTAGGTCGACCTTAATTAGATGTGCAGTTTAAGCTTGACTGTTGGAAAGCTAAATTTTTAATCCTTGGGAGGGAGATTGACTTTAATTAGGTCGACTTTAATTAGATGCAGTGTGTTGCAGACTTAGTGGAGGCTGGACTATTGAAGAGATTTAAAGTGAGTGATAGAAGAAGTCAGATATTACATTTTTGGTATGCAGATGACACACTAACTTTTCGTAGTGCACAAATAGTGTGAAATAATAACGTTGAGGAGTTTCTTGTGTTGTTTTGAGGTGGTTACTAGTCTTAGAGTGAATTGGAACAAGACCAACCTTATTATAGGGTTTCTTGTAGTTCTTAGATGTGGTGTAGGGAAGTTTCCTGTTATAGGTTCAATGGCTTCTAGATCTATATGGGACCCTGTGATCCAAAATGTGCAGTTTAAGCTTGACTTATGGAAATTGACTTTATAGGGAGATTTTTATCTTGGTAAGGAGATTGACTTTAATTAGGTTAACTTTGTCAAACTCTAGTTTACTTTTGTGTCCTTGTTTAGAATACCAAGAGAGGTTTTTGTGGGAAGAAAATGAAGATAAAAAAGAATTTCTGTTTGGTAGCTTGGGATAAGGTTTGTACCTACCTATGAAGAATGGATGTGAAAAGGTTGACTAGTGCTGAATGAAAGATGATCAGTTATGGAAAAGGATATTCTTAGAGAAATGTGGGAAATACCGATGGCATATGAGAGCTTAAACAAGAAAGGCTTTACTCAGATTTGGATGGGGTTGTTGCACAAAATGAAGTATTTTAAGAAATATGAGAGTATCGGCGGGAGATGGAACAAACCAGATTCTAGCAATAGAATTGGGTGGGGACAGATCTCTAAAGGTACAGTTCCCAACTTCGTTTGCAAAAGTGACTTCATAAATTCAAATATGAAAGAGATGGTCAATGCATATGGGTATAATGCCATCTGGAATATTACTTGGATTGGTGAAGAGGTGGTGAAAGGTTCTATTATTACTATCTAAGGAAAAGATATCATTTGGAACCAAATTCTCAAGGGGCTTTTATTGTTAGGCATATATGACTTGCTCTTTAATGATAGAAGACAATGGCAAGAGATGAGGTGGGTCAGAATTTGGAAGTTGCCCAGTACCAATGAAAGTAAAATATTTTATTTGGTTGCTTAGCATGAACAAGCTGTTGACCATTGATGTGCTTAGAAAAAGGGGGAAAAGTTTTTAGCAAATACATGTATTCTGTGTAAAGGTTGACCATCTGTTTTTGCATTGTGGAAGCGGGTGCAGTACATGTTACAAAACATGTGTGTGATATTTTCACATTGTGGGAGTTGTCAAATGTTAGGTTGATGAAAGTTCACTTTGGAAGATCACTAAAGGGGTTGCGTGGGGCATCTACTAGAAAATAATTTTTGGCAATGGCAATGATTGATCGAATGTATCAGTTGCATCACTTGATAAGTATGACATGTAGTACCCATCAAGCAGGCGTATGGGAACCCCCTGATAAATTTTATGGAATCTCCATGGGAAATCCTGGCAGAGGTGGTATTGGAGGTGCAGTTAAGGATCATAAAAAAAGATATTGTGGGCCTGTGGGGTGTTAACCGAAAATGAGGCTGAAATGATATCAGTGTTGCAAGGGATTAGAATAGTAGATTGGTGATAATGGATCATTGTGGGTGATTCCATGAACGTGACTCATTGGTGTACGAAGGAAATGTGACAATTTTGTAGAGATAATTGTGGTATATTAGAGGGCTGGTTAGGGATCATATTGGGACAATTTTAAAGAGATATTGTGGGCTTTGTGTATTATTATTAATATAGCAAATGGAGCTGAGATAAGATCAGTGCTGCAAGGGATTAGAGTAGCAGATTGGTGATAATGGATCATTGTAGGTGATTCTATGAACGTGACTCATTAGTGTACGAAGGAAATGTGACAATTTTATAGAGATAATTGTGGTATATTGGAGAGCCGGTTAGGGATCATATTGGGACAATTTTAAAGAGATCTTGTGGGCTTTGTGTATTATTAATAGCAAATGGAGCTGAGATCAGTGTTGCAAGGGATTAAGGTGGCTTAGCAATTTGGTGGATCATTGAGTATGACACCCCATGAATGTGATTCATTGGTGTAAGAAGAAAATGGAGGTGCCTTTGATGCTTTGGGAGGAGGTTATGGTTCATTTCCTGATAATTGGTTCATATGCATATAGAGAGAAAAACTCAGCAGCAGTTGCTTTGGATAAAGATAATGTCTAGATGGAAGTGTTAGGGGGAAAGAATGTATATAGAGAGAAAAACTCAGCAGCAGATGCTTTGGATAAAGATGCAGTCTAGATGCAAGTGTTAATTGTGATATTAATGATGGGCCCAGAGTTAGTGGGAAAGATTCAATGTATATATAGAGAGAAAAATTCAGCAGCAAATGTTTTGGCTCAAGATGCAGTCTAGATGCAAGTGTTAACTGTGATATTAAAGATGGGCCTAGAGTTAGGGGTAAAGATTGAATGTATATAGAGAGAAAAGCTCATCAGCAGATGCTTTGGATAAAGATTTAGTCTAGATGCAAGTGTTAGGGCGAAAGATTGAATGTATATAGAGAGAAAAACTTGCAGCAGATGCTTTGCAGTCTAGATGCTAGTGTTAACTGTGATATTAAAGATGGGCCCAAAGTTAGGGGGAAAGATTTAATGTATATAGAGAGAAAAACTCAGCAGCAGATGCTTTGGCTTAAAGATGCAGTCTAGATGCAAGTGTAAACTGTGATATAAAGATGGGCCC